TACTCTACTCTACTCTACTCTACTCTACTCTACTCTACTCTACTCTACTCTACGCTACTCTAGGACACTCGACTCTATTCTATGACACTTTACTCCACTCCACTCTACTCTACTCTATCCTACTCTACTCTACTCTACGACACTCTACTTTACTCTACGACACTCTACTCTACTCTACAACACTCTATGACTTTCTACTCTACTCTGCGATACTATACTCTACTCTATGAAACTCCACAATACGACGCTCTACGACATCCTATTCTACTATACTTTACTCCACTTCATTCTACTTTGCGACACTTAACTCTAATCTACTCTACTCTACTCTACGACAATCTACTCTACCATACTCTACTCTATGACACTACTTTCCTCTACGACATTCTATTGTAATCTACTCGACAACACTCTACGACACTCTTTTTTACTCTATGGCACTCTAATCTCCTCTACTCTACTCTACTCTACTCTACTCTACTCTACTCTACTCTACTCTACTCTACTCTACTATAGTATACTATACTCTACGACAATCTACTCTACGATACTCTACTGTAGTCCATGACGCTTTGCTCTCCTCTACAACACTCTACCGTAATCTGCTCGACAACATTCTACCGCACTCTACTCTATGACACTCTAATCTATGACACTCTCCTCTCCTCTATGACACTCTACAATACTTTACTCTACAACACTCTACGACACTATATTGTACTTGATGGCACTCTACTCTACTCTACTCTACCCTACTCTACTCTACTCTACGACATTCTACTCTACAACACTTTACTCTACTCTACAACTCTCTACTCTACCCTACAACACTCTACTCTACTCTACGACACTGTACAACATTTTACTCTACTCTACACCACTCTACTCTACGACACTCTACAACACTCTACGACACTCGACAGCACTCTACTCTACAAGACTCTACAACACTCTATTCTACTCTACGACACTATACTGTACTCTACTCGACGGCACACCAGGACACTCTACTCTACTCTACAACACTTTACTTTATTCCACTCTACTGTACTCTACTCTACTCTACTCTACTTTACTCTACTCTACTCTATTCTACGACACTTTACTCTACTCTTCGACACTCTACTCTTCTCTATGATACTCTACTCTACTGAGTCTACTCTACTCTACCCCATTGTACTCTACTCTACTCTACCCACTGCATTGTACCTTACTCTACTGTACTCTACTCTACTCTATTACACTTTACTCCACTTTACTCTTCTCTTAGACTCTCTATGACACTCTACGACACTCTACTCTACTCGTCGACACTCTACTGTACTCTACTCTCCTCTCCTCGACGACACTCAACTCAACTCTACTCTACTCTACTCTACTCTACTCTACTTTCCTCTGCTCTGTTCTACTCTCTTCTACTCTACTCTACTCTACTCTACTCTACTCTACTCTACTCTACTTTAGTCTTTACAACACTACTCTACAACACTCTACTCTACGACACTCTATGACACTTTACTCTACTCTACTCTACTCTACTCTACTCTACTCTCTACAACACTACTCTACAACATTCTACTCTACGACACTCTACAACGCTCTACTTTACTTTACTCTATGACATTGTACTCTACTCTACGACACTCTACGACACGCTCCTCTACTCTTTCTTTACCGTTTTGGTAGTTTTGGTTGCGGGTGTTGCCCGCACGACCCTCACCGCGGGCCCTAAGCTATTCGTCAATTAAACTCAGACTTCGTAGCCACTTTTAGGCTATTATTTATTACCCTGTGATTTTTTTATTTTTTTTAAAGTCTGTTTCAGTTTATGCGAGTGCTCCATGTCAGGTTGCCTACAACATTTCTTATTTATGTGGGTATGGCCCTCACCGCCTGCATCACGGGCGCTTAGCTAGTCACTATATTGGACAAGGAAAATTGGGACTTACTACCCAGACTAGGTGTTTGATGCGTGTGTTCTTTGATATAAATGCATATGTATAACATATTTATACGTATATAGACTCATAGAGCGAGAGGGGGGAGGGCCCGCTTTCGGCGAGCACCATGGCTGGCCGGCGGGCGGCGAGGCGCTGGCGGTGTGCGAGTGGTGTCACGAAGGTTGGTGTGCGAGTGGTGTTGCGCAGGTTGCTGACAAGCGAGGCGCTGGCTGGTCGGAGGTTGCCAGGCGCTGGGTACTCGCAGGCTGCGAGGCGCTTGCTTCACGCCAGGGCCGAGGCGTTGTCTGCGTGGGAGCAGCAAGGCGCTGCCAGAGGCGCTGGCAGATCCTGGGGAGCATGGCACTAGCAACGCCGGGGTGGCGAGGCACTGGCTCTGCGTGACATGTGGGACACTGTTTTACACATGGCGTGACGCTGATTGTCACGGGGAGAGGGTGCTGTGATGGGTTAGATTAGATTGGTGATTGCGCTTGGCACACGCACGGTATTTTAGAGGCAGTTGGCCAATGCCACGCCACAGGTTGACATGGCATTTGGTCTAAAGCACAAAGGATTCGGGAAAATGGTGGTCGTGGCTACTGTTTGAACTATCTCCTTGTGCTTTCCGGATGAAGTACTCCATAGCCACGACCTTATAAAAGGCGGGAGGGCTCATGCAAGTTGGCTTAAGCCGATGTTGGTGGAAGAAAGCGGAGTGAGCCCTGTAGAGTCCAAAGTGTGGAGCACGCTGGTCACACCGAAGAATCATCACAACGCTGTTGGGAGGTCATCATCAGGTCATCATCAAACAATAAAGGAGGTCATCAAGTTGGAGGTGATCATCAATGAAGCTCCTCTCTAGTATTTTTCTTAATGTTTTTCTCCTCTGTATTGTGCAGGTTATCTTCATTGATTGCGTCTTTTATGGCTGGAGATTATCATCTTGTTGTCAGTCTTCATCGTTGCCTTACTCAGAGTACTTCTATTTTTTTCGCCAAGTGATCGTCGACACATCATCTGCGGTCTTCACGTTCTTCAACACCTGGCTGCCTGTTGCATACTGTAACATGCAGACCAGAACAAGAACCGACCTTTCAATACAAAGTATAAGATAGCACAACGGAAGACTTAGATACCAGTGATCCGAACAATCAATGTTGTAATGCAGCCCTGAACATACATCATCATCATTGTTACATGGTGTGAATGGGCCTGGCGCTTCACACAGGAAGACAGCGCCAGCCCGTACCATACACAAACGAAGAGGAAGGGGATAGACGAAGAGGAGGGGGAAGATTGGAATGTCGTCAACACCAAGTCTTCGACACAAGCCCAAATAGTCCCTCGTCGAAATGCCTGAATCCCAAGTGTCAAGTCTGGATCCAATGTCGTCAAGTCTCGAGTCACAACTCTGTCTCTCTTTGTCGTAGTCTGAGAAGTCAGGTGGCGAGAGGGTGAGAAGAGAAGGTGGACTTAGAAGAGGAAGAAGAAGAACTCTCTCTCTCTCTCTATGTGTCCAGTAGTAACCTGTGAAGTTGGCGCCTTGATGCAGGTACCACGCAGATGGAGCTGGAGCGATGTGCCACAGGTAAGTAACACTGGCCTCCGCCAGTCTCTCTCCCACTCTACGATCTACCACCTACCAGCGCCCAGCGCTGAAGACTACAGCTACAGCTATGGCGACCAGCGCCGAAGACTACAGCTAGCGCTACTACTACTAGTGCTGAAGACTACTGCAATGCTCCTCCTGAGTGCTGCGGCCGATCTCCTGAAGACTACCTCGTGCCTATTGAACTACCTACCTGTGAAGTGCATGGGAACCTCCTATGTACTACGGGTGTGCCTCTTGAGCCTGCCGAAGGGAGGTAGGGGCTGCAGCTGCAGCTCCTGCTCGAGCACGTGAGGAACAGGTTATTTTGGGCCTGTTCCGCATCCCTGTTTACGTGCCTGAGTCTTAGGGGCAGGTCGAAACAATGAGGGCCTGAAAATGGCCCTCCGTTTCAGGCTGAAAACTCTGGGTCTGAAAAGACCCAGAAATAGGCTGAAACGAGGTAGGGCCTGCAGGCCCTCGTTTTTCAGCATCCAGGCTGAAACGAACGGGGCCTGTAAGCCCTATGTTTTAGGCTTTTAGGCTGAATGTCCGGGACGGGCCCTGCAGGGCCCGTGTGGCTACGCAGTATGCCACACCCCCCCCTCCTTGAAGAACCGGGCTTACCTGCGAGGGCGAAGCTGTCTGTCTGAGGGAGGGACCACAGTCCGGGTGGGAGGGGCTGGTCGTGAAGCTTCCTGAGCTAACCTGCGCTTTTCATAATGCGCGTCGATCAGCGGTGCGGATGTTTTCAAATTTGCGCCTGATATCCACCGAGTGTCGTCGCGATC